TAGGCAAGAAAAAGAAATCAAAGAGATACAAATTGGAAAGGAGGAAGTCAAACTATCCCTATTTGCAGATGACATGATTCTATATATAAGGGATCCAAAAGACTCTACTCAGAGACTACTGGAACTCATAAAAGAGTTTGGTAAAGTGGCAGTATATAAAATTTGTTAGGAAAAGAGTTGCAGATTGGTGTCTTCTCACATGGGGCACCGTAAATGTTAGGAAAACAGGCACAGAATACAGAGGAGGTAGTGTATGAATTTATAGCCAGACCAAATTTATTGAGAAAAAATGAAATTTGCAGAGATGGGTGACCAACTACCAGTGTACATATGGTGGAACATGTGGCAGAAGGCCCCAACCCCAGGGGTCAGGACTTTTTATATTTTAGGAGGCTCTAGGAATGGGGGTGGGGATAGGGAGCAGAAGAAGATGGTGAATTCCTAGAACTGGTCTTTCAGGTGTTCCAGCAACTGGTCTTTCCGGTGGCTGTGGGGGTGAGGTATGAAGGGAATAGAGTGTGAGATCCAACTGAGATTCAAGGGCAAGGAATAAATTCTAATGTTTATCTATATTTTGGGCAGTGAGCGATAATGGCTGAGGCTTATGTCTTTGTTCCATCAAAATTAACACACAAAAATCAATAGCATTTGTATACATAGACAATGTCATGGTTGAGAAGGAACTTCTAAGATGAATCCCATTCACAACAGCTATAAAAAATTAAATACCCAGGAATATATTTAATAAAAAATGTCAAAGATCTCCATGATAAAAATTACAAAACATTAAAGAAAGAAATAGAAGAACACACACACACAACAAAAACTGTCCACATTCATGGATTGGAAGGATCAATATCATCAAAATGTTCATACTATTGAAAGCAATTTACAGTTTCCTTTTTTTTTCTATTTGACAGGCAGAGTTAGACAGTGAGAGAGACAGAGAGACAGAGAGACAGAGAGAAAGGTCTTCCTTCTGTTGGTTCACCCCCTAAATGGCCACTATGGCTGGTGCTATGCCTATCTGAAGCCGGGAGCCAGGTGCTTCCTCCTGGTCTCCCATGCAGGTGCAGGGGCCCAAGCACTTGGGCCACAGCAGAGAGCTGGACTGGAAGAGGAGCAACCGGGACTAGAACCCACTGCCTATATGGGATGCTGGTGCTGCAGGCAGAGGATTAGCCAAGTGAGCCACGGCACCGGCCCCACAATTTACAGTTTCAATGCAATCCCAATCAAAATACCAAAGACATTCTTCTCAGATCTAGAAAAAACAGTGGTAAAATTAATATGGAAACACAAGAGACCTCGAATAGCTAAAGAAATCTTATACAACAAAAATAAAGCTGGAGGCATCACAATACTAGATTTTAAGATATACTACAGGGCAGTTATAATCAAAACAGCTTGGTACTGGCAAAAAATAAAAATAAAAATGTGTTGATCAATGGAACAGAATAGAAATCCAGAATCAATCCATGCATCTACGACCAGCTAATCTTTGACAAAGGAACTAAAATCACCCTCAAGAGCAAGGACAATCTCTTCAACAAATGGTGCTGGGAAAGCTGGATCTCTGCATGCAGAAGTATGAAACAAGACCCCTGCCTTGCACTTTACACAAAAATCCACCCAAAACGAATCAAAGATCTAAATCTATGACCTGATACCATCAACTTACTAGAGAATTTTGGAGAAACTGAAACTCTGCAAGACATTGTCTTAAGCGAAGACTTCTTGGAGAAGACCTCAGGAGCACAGGCAATCAAAGCTAAAATTGACAAATGTGATTACACCAAGCTCAAGTGTGATTACATCAAGCTTTTACACTGTAAAAGAAACACACAGTAAAGTGAAGAGGCAACCAACAGAATGGGAAAAAATCGATGCAAACTATGCCACTGATAAAGGATTAATATCTAGAATCTAAAAAGAGCTCAAGAAATTCAACCACAACAAAACAAACAATCCAGTTAAAAAATGGGCAAAGGACTTAAACAGGCATTTTTCATGAGGGGAAATTCAAATGGCCAATATGCACTTGAAAAATGCCTAGGATCACTACCCATCAGAGAAATGCAAATCAAAATTACCCTGATGCTTCACCTCACCCCAGTTATAATGGTTCTCATATAGATATCAACAAGTAATTAATACTGGTGAGGATGTGGGGAAAAGGTACCCTAATCCACTGTTGATGGGACTGCAAACTGGTGCAGCCACTGTGGAAGATAGTATGGAGATACCTCAGAAATATGAATATAGACGTACCATACGACCCAGCCATCCCACTTCAAGGAATTTATCCAAATAAAAACAGCATATGAAACAGTGATCTGTACCCCAATGTTTATTGTAGCCCAAATCACAATAGCTAAGATATGGAATCAACCCAGATGTTCATCAACTGAAGACTGGATAAAGAAATAATGGTATACATACACTATGAAATACTAGGCAGTGGTAAAAAAAATGAAATCCTGTCATTTGCAACAAAATGGATGCAGCTGGAAACCATTATATTTAGTGAAATAAGCCAGTCCCCAAGAGACAAATACCATATGTTCTCCCTAATCTGTGGTAACTAATAGAGTACCTAAAAGGTAATCTATAGGAGTGCAAATGACACTTTGAGATATGGTGATTTTGAATGGCCCTTCTCTTGATTGTTGAGGAATAGTGTTTTTTTTTTCTTCTTCATACTATTTTTTGAACTCTTTACTTAGTGTAGGGTTAATCTTATGAGAATAAATTTAACTGAAAATAGATCTTTGTAAAAATAAGAATGGGAATAGGAGAGGGAGGAAGAAAAAGGATGGGGGTGTGGGTGGGAGAGAGGGTATGGTGGAAAGTATCACTATGTTCCTGAATTTGCATATATGAAATACATGAAATTGGTATGCCTTAAATAAAAAAAAATAAAATGAAAAGACAAGCTACACACTTGGAAAAATATCTGCAAAACATATCTGATAAAGGACTTACATACAAAATACAAAAAGAATCCTCAAAATTCAATAATCATCCTTATTTTAAAAACAAAATACTTGAAAAGACATTTTAACTAAAAAGATATACAAATGGCAACTCAGTAATTAGGAAATGCAAATTAAAACTGCAATAAAAAATCATCACACACCTATTAGAATGACTGTAACTTTTTTTTTATTTTTTATCTTTTATTTAATGAATATAAATTTCCAAAGTACGACTCATGGGTTACAATGGCTTCCCCCCCCCATCCCGTCCCTCCCACCCACAACCCTCCCCTTTCCCACTTCCTCTCTCCTTCTATTCACATCAAGATTCATTTATGATTATCTGAATATACAGAAGATCAGCATAGTATACCTTAAGTAAGGATGTCAACAGTTTGCTCCCACGCAGACACATAGAGTGAAAAATAGTAGATGATTTTTTGAAATGATGATGAGATCAGATCAAACCTATTGTCATGTTTTATCGCAGTGAGAGTCAAGTTGGCAAGTGAGAATTTCATTATTTCTCTTCTCTGTAATCTTACCGAAGATCAGTTTAGTGTACATTAAGTAAAGATTTCAATCGTTTGCACCCCCATAGAAACACAAAGTGAAATATACTGTTTGAGTACTCGTTATAGCATTAAGCCTCAGTGTACAGCACATTAAGGACAGAGATCCTACATGAGGAGTAAGTGCACAGTGACTCCTGTTGTTGACTTTACAAATTGACACTCCTGTTTATGGCATCAGTAATCTCCCTATGCACCAGTCATGAGTTTCCAAGGCTATGGAAGCCCCTTGAGTTCTCCGACTCTTATCTTGTTTAGACAAGGTCATAGTCAAAGTGGAGGTTCTCTCCTCCCTTCAGAGAAAGGCACCTCCCTCTTTGAAGACCTGTTCTTTCCACTGGGATCTCACTCACAGAGATCTTTTTGCCAGAGTGTCTTGGCTTTCCATGCCTGAAATACTCTCATGGGCTTTTCAGCCAGATCCGAGTGCCTTTAGGGCTGATTCTGAGGCCAGAGTGCTATTTAGGACATCCGCCATTCTATGAGTCTGCTGAGTATCAAGAATGACTGTAACTTAAGTCTGACAAAGTATTTTTGAGAAAGTTAAAGGACTGAAGTCTTACACATTACTGACGGAAATTTAAAAATGGTACAATTATTTTATAAAACAATTTAGCAATTTTTGAACATCTACTTACCATAATATCCAATCATTTCATTCCTAGGTATTTAATAAGAGAAAAAAAGCATTTGTCTATACAAACATGTGTACAAATGTTCAATAGCAGCATTATTTATGATAGTAAAAGAAAGAAGACAAACTCAATGTCCATCAACAGGTAACTAAAAGATGCAATGGGATGCATGTGTATCAGTGGAATACTACTATGCAATTAAAACTAATGAACTAATTGACAGATACTACAACATGGACAAATCTCAAAATATTTTTCTAAGAGAAAGAAGCAAAGCATGAAATTAATATGCACTGTTTTATTTCATTTCTAGAAAATAGAAACTATAGGTATAGAAAGCAGATCAATGATTGCCTTGGGTGGGAGGCAGAAAGAAGAAGAAAGTAGGGGGGAACAGAGTAGGGGGAAACTTTTGAGGGTAATAAATAGGTTCATCATCTTGATTGTGAAGAGAGCTTCAGAGGTGTCTATATATGTCAGACTTGTCCCATTACACACTTTAAATATCTGTAGATTATTATATAGGCATAAAAGGCATTGGCATTTACCGCCACTAATACACTCTGCATTGCCAATAGCCTAAACTTAATTCCACTTTTAGCCACTTACATTTTTCACCAACTAAAGACCAAAAAACAAACAAACAAAAACAGAGAGAAGCTGGGAAAGGTGGAAGAGAGCATCCAAAGTCACCCCAGATCCATTTTAGAGAATACAGGGATTGCATCTAAAAGGAAATGTATAAATACTACTATGCTGCTCATTCAGTTTGACCTTTTAGAATTATTCAACACTGTTTAATTGTTACACCTTACCTCATGTTTTTCAATGATCACCTCATCAAAAATGTTTATATACACATTATCTTTTATTTTAGATAAGTTTGAGAAGCTATAATCATGTCCAGGTGAGCTACAAATAAGAAAAACATACATAAATACTTAACTTTAAAAAAAATTTTTTTTGACAGGCAGAGTGGTCAGTGAGAGAGAGAGACAGAGAGAAAGGTCTTCCTTTGCCGTTGGTTCACCCTCCAATGGCTGCTGCGGCTGGCGCACAGCGCTGATCCAATGGCAGGAGCCAGGTACTTCTCCTGGTCTCCCATGGGGTGCAGGGCCCAAGTACTTGGGCCATCCTCCACTGCACTCCCTGGCCACAGCAGAGAGCTGGCCTGGAAGAGGGGCAACCGGGACAGAATCCAGTGCCCCGACCGGGACTAGAACCCGGTGTGCCGGTGCCGCAAGGCAGAGGATTAGCCTAGTGAGCCACGGCGCTGGTAACTTAACTTTTTATAATAGCAATTTAGTTCCTAAGAGCATAATGCATAGCAGATAATACAATTACCTGAGTTGTCTTTTATAAAGTATAAACTAAGAAAAAGCTATATGCTTTGAAGATGGACTGTTACCTTTCATCAAAACAAGTGTGTGCTTTGTAATTTATCTTTCATATTAAGCAGAAAGGTTTTCACTACAGTCATCCCTTACTAATTATCTGTATGCTACATTAAGATTTTCCAACTGTTTAAAATTCTGTTAGTTTCTGCTAATTCACACATTAATGGAACCCAGGTAATTTTAAAAAAAGATTTATTTATCTATTTGAAAGGTAGAGTTACAGAATGAGAGGAGAGACAGAGAGAAACAGAAAGAGATTGTCGGCCAGTGCCACAGCTCACTTGGCTAATCCTCTGCCTGAGGCGCCAGCACCCCCGGTTCTAGTCCTGGCTGGGGCGCCGGATTCTGTCCCAGTTGTTCCTCTTCCAGGCCAGCTCTCTGCTGTGGCCTGGGAAGGCGGTGGAGGATGGCCCAAGTGCTTGGTCCCTGCACCTGCATGGGAGACCAGGAGGAAGCATCTGGCTCCTGGCTTCGAATCGGCGCAGTGTGCTGGCCATAGCAGTCATTTGAGGGGTGAACCAACAGAAGGAAGACCTTTCTCTCTCTAACTCTGCCTGTCAAAAACAAAGAAAGAAAGAAAGAGATTGTCTACCTGCTGATTCACTCCCAAATGCACCCAATGGCTGGGGCTGTGCCAGGCTGAAGCCAGGAGCAAGGAGCTTCCTCTGGGTCTCCCATGTGGGTGCAGGGACTCAGGGACTTGGGTCATCTTCTGCTGCTTTCCCAGGTTCATTATCAGCGAGCTGGATCAGAAGTGGAGCAGCCAGGACTCAAAGTGGTGCTCATATGGGATGCTGGCACTGCGGCCTCAGTCTAACCCACTGAGCCACAGCTCCAGCCCCTAATTCACACGTATAATTAAAATATCTTCTTGCTCATAGTTAATAGTTGTGATTATTTTAATCATAGAGCCTTTCCCACATCTATTTTCCCCAAAAGAAATCTGGATAAGAGAGAACACTTAATTTTGCAAGTTGTCTCTGATGCCTTACTTGATTAGGGACATTTATATTCTAAAATTAGTTTTTATTTGTGAGGCAGAGAAAGAAAGAGATCCCATTTACTGGTTCTCTCCTCAAAAGTCTGCAATGGCCAGGGCTGGGCTGGTGCCAGAGTTTGGAGCTGGGAACTCAACCCAGGTCTCCCATGTGGGTGGCAGGAACCACTGAACCATTACCTATTGCTCCCCAAGCTCTATAGTGAGAGAAAGCTGGGATAAGAAGCCATTGCCAGGGATGGAACCCAGGTACTCCAATGTGGAATGCAGTATCTTAGCTGTTAGGCTAAATTTCTGCCCCTAACATTTGGAATTAGCTAAAAGGATCGTGTATATCATGAGCAATGAACTTCCAAGTTCCAGTTTGCATTCTAACTCCATCAAATGTCTAAGAGCAATGAAAATCACAATCCTGTGCAGTAGGTTATTTTACGTGGCGAACCTGAAGCTCAGAGAAGTTAAATAATTTGCTCAAGAGCATTCCATCAGCAAGTAATAGCACTCTGATCTGGACCCAGTTCTGACTGACTCCAAAGACTGTATCTTTTTACTATATAATTGCCACTGACATTATTTGTTGATGTTTATTGTTTAAGGAACCAAGTATTATTTCAAAGCATCATCAACAGTTTACAACTTTCTGAGACCTACAGCAAGTGACAATTGATAAATGCTAGTTCAGGTAACAATTTAAGTTGAGTCCTTATACTTCTAAGTGATAAAATAACAAGCTGACTCCCTTGCTTTGCTCCTCAAGGGTTTCCTTTCATGCTGAGGTGGCCTAAGGCAGGGCAGGCAAGGCAGTGTGCATTTGCTGTGTCAGGTCAGAGAGAGAAAGGATGAAAGCCATCCTCAAGACATTTCTGAGCTTGTCAACTTGGTATATCCCTTAAATTACTCAAGTTCTTTTGCTTTATCTTCCATTTTGCATTTTCTTTTAAACTTCCCTCAAATTTCACAATTCTTCCTCTAAAATAGGGCTCATGGGGCTAATTACCACTTATTTAATATTCAATTTATTTCATTTCCATGCCATTTTTTTAAAAAAAATTTGTTTATTTTATTTGAAAGTCAGAGTTACACAGAGAGAGGAGAGGGAGAGGGAGAGAGAGAGAGAGGTCTTTAATTCACTGGGTCACTCCCCAATTGGCTGCAACAGCTGGAGCTGCGCAATCTGAAGCCAGGAACCACGAGCTTCCTCCTGGTCTCCCACATGGGTGCAGGAGCCCAAGGACTTGGGTCATCTTCCACTGCTTTCCCAGGTCATAGCAGAGAGCTGGATCGGAAGTGGAGCAGCCAGGACTAGAACCGGTGCTCATATGGGATGCTGGCATTTCAGGTCAGGGCATTAACCTGCTGCGCCACAGCACTGGCCCCCACCATGCCATTTTTATTTACCTAAATTTCATAAGTACAGGGGAATAGGAGTCTTATATTAGAGGCAACAAAAAGTTCTAGCTGGATGGTTTTGTCTTAGCCAAAACCTATGATCCACTTGGTTGTACCAAAATTATGTTCTTGGCTTATTTCATTGCTATAATGGCAATGATGTAAACACTCTAACCTTTCTCTTTAGTTCACTTACAGGTTTATTTGTTTTACTGGTTGTTTCAATTCATTTAGTATAATATTTTTTCTAATATCTAATATTTTAAAAATTTACAAACATATAACCACATAAGAGAGGGTCTTCAAAATTTTGTAGAAAAAGCCCACTTTGAAAAACATATGCATGAATTTCAATTTTTTGCACTAACATAAACTTATAAATGTATATTTAAAAGATTTACTTATTTGAAAGCCAGAGTTACAGAAAGAGAGAGGGATCTTCCATCCACTGGTTTGCTCCCCAAATTGCCACAATGGCCAGGACTGGGCCAGGTGGAACCCAGGAGCCTAGAACTCTTTCCACCTCCTTCCCAGGGATGGAGCAAGAAGGAAAAGCATATCCAAAGCTCCACACCACTTTTTGGTTCCTTGCGTACCTGACGGACAGCAGGTCCCAACACTTCCCCCTACCCTCATGTGAGAAATTTCCTAACCCCCTATATTGCTCCTTAACAAGCTCAACCCCACCTCAGCCATTAGCCCCGGCCTGATGGCAAAAAAGCCTGGCAAACCTGCTCAATCTAGCCTGATGTTGGCCCACCTAGAACAGAAAGCAGCTCTGGCTGTATAAACACCTAGTCTCTGTGATGCCACTGCTCCTGTCCTCCCAGGTAGTGCGTCTCTCTCTCTCAGGTTTGTCTCTGAATCAACCTGTTCAGGCTGTGGAATTCATGGTCTGTCTCTTCTTTGTCTTGCTCTGTTTCCTCTTTGTCTTGCTCTTCAACCCTTATATCCAAGAACATTAGGAGGGTGCTGGATCAGAAATGGAACAGCTGGGACTTGAGCCTGTGTTTACATGGCATGCCAGCATTGCAGGCAGTGGCTTAACTCACTGCACCACAACACTGGCCCCTAAACTTTCTTTTGATTATGCTTTTATAATGCCTTCATAGTTTACCTTTTTATAAGCAAATATATTTTACATGCTATTTAGCTTGATATTACACAACATATAGATTTACTTTCAAATCAATACTCTGTCATACACAAAGGTAAAAAGGTCAGGAAAGCAAGTATCACAGTACAAGGCAGAGCAAAAAGTACAAGGTCAAGACAGGACGTCAAACAGTGAGGATATGTGTTTAGAAACTCTGGCCAACGACTCTGAACATACAATTGAGTCTGGGCTGAATCTGGAAGAGCAAACTTGATTTCTATTAACAGAAGCATCCACAGCTTCTAAGCTAACACAATTCCAAGGTATACTGGTCCATTATGGTTTTTTTTCTCCTTTTTGAAAAAATGGCATAAACAAGATCTCATTTTCCTTGCACATCTCAGTTTGGGTCTGGAGGCTTTCACTTTGAGAAGTGGCAGCTAGGATATGAATGTTTATGTAGCCTACAAAATGTCATCACATTTTTGCAAGTGATTATGTCAGTGCTTCTGAAAATAAATAGCATTATCTTAGTCTGTTTTGAGATCTTATAACCAGATGCCTCAGGCAGGTTAACACATAAGGAACAGAAATTTATTTCTCACAATTTTGGAAGCTAGGAAGTCCAGGATTAAGGCACTGGCATCTGATGTCTGGTGAGGGCCTCCTTACTAAGTCTTCAGATGGTGGAAGGTGGAAGGGCAAAAAAAGGAGGAATGCTATGTCCTCACATGGCAGAAGAACATATAAGAATGAACCTACTCCTATAAACCCTTTTTGTTACAGCATTAATCCAACCATAAGGATGAAGCCCTCATGACCTATACATCTCCCATTAGGCCCCATGTCTCAACACTGTTGCACTGGGGATTAAGTTTTCAACACATAAATTTTGGGGAACACATTCAGACCATTGCAAACAGCTACCATAAAAGCGTGAGCATGGATGAATCTCTTCAAATATTTAACAATGAGGAAAGAAGATTGGAATTACAGAATAATACACAAATATGACCCAAATTATATAAAGCAAAAGAAATGCATAAGTAAATATTACACAGGGATAAATATCTATGAAGTAAACACAAAGGAACAGAGAATGGTAAATACAAATTCATGGTTGTTAGGTAATATAATTATATAACAGGAAATGTAATTATGGAATGCATAGAGTGCTGTTTAAGCTATCAGTTACTATTTTATTTTTTAAGCTGGATGGTAGATACACAGATAATCAATTTACTATTTTTCTTCAGAACTTATGCTGATATGTACATTATATATTAGTCTATGTCTGAAATGTTTAATAATTAAAAAGTTTTAAACTAAAGCCTTATCTGAATCATTATTTTCAATAAATGGCTCAAGAAAATAATTTTATTATAGCTCTTTTTTTTAGAAGCTACAAAAAAATAGACTCCAACTTACATAAAATCTACTTCAATTTCTTCATTCCAGCATGGATGAGATCCACTTGCTGTATTGGTTTGGTATACAGTGTGCTGAAAAGAAACTTCCACAAAAGGGTTTACAGTATCCTGAAACATATAAAAATGTTGACTAGATTTTTATAGTATTTTATATAGGTAAAAAGGCAGAAAGCTAGGAAATTTCTTTGGCAACTGAATTACTTAATTTGTCTAGTTTTTTAAAAGCCATTATTTATTCTTTCATAACAATAACATATATTGGTCCTGTTCCAAATCAGATATTTTTCTGGGATCCAAAGACAAACAGAACTTTCCTTTAAGAATTTTATAGTCAACCAGGGAAGAATAAGCAGGTAGAGGAATTTAAGTGTAATGAAATGTGAGAAATATGTTCAAGATATGAGAGTTACTCAGGAGAGGGAATGATTAACTTTCTGGGGGCATCACAGAGAAAACAGTACTTGAGCTTGGCTTTGAGACAGTAAGGAGTAATTTGTTTGGCCAATAAGATGGAAATACATGGAGGCCATTCCAAAGGAAATAACTAGTAGAGGCTTTGTAGAACAAGTGGGAGTATAATACAGCTGAGGCGTGGAGAGAGAGGAGGCTGAGTGGTGGGCAGGGACTGAGCATTAAAGATTTCATAGTCACTCCGAGGGTGAAGGTAGGGAATGAAATGGTTAGAATTATATTCTATGACAAACACTTGCACTGTGTTATGGAATAAACTTAAAGCTGAAAAGAAAACAGAGATGGAGAGACCGATTAACAGCTAATTGCAATTTAAAGCAAATATAATCAATATTGTTCTTCACAGAAGTGTTAAATACCTCATTTAAGAGCTCATCTGAGGCTACCAATTTGATTGCTTCTTTATGTCTGAGGCGAGATATGGATGACATCAAATAAGTAGGCATATCCAAAACTCTTCAGGAAAACCAATGAAGAGAAATATATTTTGATTAGTTTTGGTAGGAGTGGGTACATTTTTACTGTGCTTATAGGGAAATATAATTCAGTTTCTCTGGATCTTACTATTTGTTTTACATTGTCATACTGTCACAAATGGTTAAAGATAAACATTTGATAATCACTACCTTGGGAGAGTGGCTCCTAAATGCTAAACAATCAGTTGGATACAGTCTATGATAACATTTTCAGAAGTATTCAACAAGAGAAGAAAAATAAGGCAAATGATTCCTTGAGAATATATGCTTCATATTTTATGGTGTTATGATAGTCTTTTGTTTATAAGATGATGATTACAGAAAATAGTGGTGGTTTTATATGTCTTATTTTAAAAATAGCTCTGAAAATATGCATTTGTTTTGAGAATATTTAACTCTATTAGATGAATAAGGTTATAGTTTATAAAAGATAGGCAAAACCTTTAAGATGTTTAACTAGAATAGCCAGAAGTAAAACATTTGTTTTTCATGGATAGAATTTGTGGATTGTGGTAAGCATAAAACAGTCAAGAAGAAAACATGTATATTAAACACAGAGAGGAGACTTAGTATTTCTGAGGTACTTAAGTACTAAATATTCATCATATATGCCATATATGACTATTCTTAAGTAGAATAGCATGGAAATTTATCACATTTAAGATAGATCTTTGCAACTCTAAAAATTGGAACATACCGCCTTACCTACTAGATGTTGTTTTCCTGGTGGGAATATTATAAGCCCTTAGTATTCTGACAAGAATCTTAATATCTCCATCAGAGACAGTCTGAGCTGTGACTTTTTTCCTTTCTCTTCTCCGAGGTTTTAACTTTCTTCGTGGTTCCACAAAGTTACAAATTGCATGTGTTAGCTGGCTAAAGAGTGAAAATTGATCAGCCCCATAGACACAAAGTAACATAGTTTTGATTACTTGTAAATAAGACCAATGTTCTGTACCATATTCTCTCCATTATGGAGGGGAGACAGACTTGCTATTTTTAAGATTTATTTATTTATTTGAAAGTCAGAGTTACACAGAGAGAGGAGAGGCAGAGAGAGAGAGAGAGAGAGAGAGAGGTCTTCCATCTGTTGGTTCACTCCCCAATTGGCTGCAATGGTTGGAGTTGTGCTGATCCAAAGCCAGGAGCCAAGAGCTTTTTCTGGGTCTCCCACGTGGGTGCAGGGGCCCAAGGACTTGGGCCATCTTCCACTGCTTTCCCAGGCCATAGCAGAGAGCTGGATCGGAAGTGAAGCAGCCGGGACTAGAACTGGCACTCATATGAGATGCCAGCGCTTCAGGCCAGGGTGTTAACCTGCTGCACCACAGCGCTCCCCCCACCCCGCCTTTTTTTTTTTTTTTAAGATTTATTTAAAACTTGTTTTAAAACCAAAGAAGAAACCTTTTTCTGAGCACTGAAAGGAAGATATTAAGAGAGAATGTGATCGCTCCATGTCCTCTGGGTATCTGATCCAAAATAGACAAGGACATGGAAAGGTTAAGTCATGAAACATGATTATCCTCTATCAGATTTTCATTTTTGAGGGATCGTTCTCTTGAAAGTTAACTGGATATTCAAATTTTCTCCATGGCTCTGAAACCACTGTTAATTTGTTACATGTGCTATCAGCCCTAGCAACACAAATACATGCAATTATATATTTATGATCACATCCATTTTTCCCAGAGTATTAAAAATAAACATAATAATTTCAACATACTAAACCAGTAAAAACTGTATTGTTTATAATCACATGGCCTCCAGGGATGTTTTCCAGAGACATGGCAGCTCTGCTCCTGCACCCATCCCTAAGTTTCGCAGATAGGACAGTGTGAGAACTGAGAAAGTTCAGCAAAGGCTCCTTCAACTGTTTGATGTGGCTCTCAGCATCCTTGTTCAGCTGAGAATTCTGTTTTGCAAGAGGGATTTTACAGTCTTAGGATGTGAGGCTTCCAGCAAAGACTTGTCCAGTAGCATTCTCAGAACGGGAAAATCTTAGGGTAAAACTAATTTGGGACAAATATGTTCTTTCCATGTCTATTCGCTTGTGCTAAAGATCATCAGTAAGGAGAGGATGAAAAACACTCCTAAAATGCTGTACAACTGAAAATATATCATGCACATATTTCTTTTTTTTTTAGTATCATGTACATATTTCAAAACACAACTTTAAAGTGACCAAATGTATTTTCAATCGTTATATTATCTCCCTTTATGCTCTTAAACTGCATCTTTTGACATACAACATACCATAAAAAATAGAGGCCTCAGAGGATTTTTAAGGAGTTAACTTAATTATAGCTTAATAATTTTAGTAGTACCTTCCAGTTACAATTTCTTCATAATCAGCCACAATATCAGACAAATTAAATTTGCTGACCTTGACAATTCTTTTCATTATCAACCTTCTCATCTAAAAAAATTAGAATAAAAAAATGCACTGTTTACATTTTACATTTTAAGGTTAAGTATTTATAACTCTAATGGTACCATTCTATTTTACTCCTAATTTTTGCAAGCATTGAATGTAAAGGGGAATTAGATCAGTGAAAATATGGTTCTGTTTGCTACCATTATTAAAATCACTCCCAACTCATACTGTTAGAACAAAGCAAGCTCATTTCTCTTCAATTTTTCATCCTTCCATGTTCATTCATCTCATCCTAAATTCTTCACTCCCACATATTTTCTATTTAACTCATAATAAACATGACCAGAACAGATATGATTTCTCTGTGAATTCATTTATGCAATTGTCAGCAGTACTAGTGATGAATCCTGATCTACAAACTCAAAGCAGTAAAATAATATTTCTGTATTTCCTTTGAGTCAATTCTGTTCTGACTTAAAGCTCCCCTTCTATCAACACGGTAAGGAAGTTAGTGCTGAATACAGTGTTTTGTCAAACTTTGTTTTGAATATTTGTTCAACAAATTGACAGGAATTGCATACTACTATAGTTTTTTTTTTTAAACTTTTATTTAATGCATATAATTTTCCAAAGTACGACTTATGGATTACAATGGCTTCCCCCCCATACCGTCCCTCCCACCCACAACCCTCCCCTTTCCCACTCCCTCTCCCCTTCCATTCACATCATGATTCATTTTCGATTATCTTAATATACAGAAGATCAGCTTAGTATACATTAAGTATGGATTTCAACAGTTTGCTCCCACACAGAAACATAAAGTGAAAAATAATAGATGATTTTTTTAAATGATGATGAAATCAGAGCAGACCTATTGTCATGTTTAATCCCAGCGAGAGTCAAGTTGGGAATTGATAATTTCTTCTTTTTTTTCTTTTTTTTTTTTTTTTTTACAGAGGATCAGTTTAGTATGCATTAAGTAAGGATTTCAACAGTTTGCACCCCCATAGAAACACAAAGTGAAATATATTGTTTGAGTACTCGTTATAGCATTAAATCTCAATGTACAGCACATTAAGGATAGAGATCCTACATGAAGAGTAAGTGCACAGTGACTCCTGTTGTTGACTTTACCAATTGACACTCCTGTTTATGGCATCAGTAATCTCCCTATGCTCCAGTCATGAGTTTCCAAGGCTATGGAAGCCCTCTGAGTTCTCCGACTCTTATCTTGTTTAGACAAGGTCATAGTCAAAGTGGAGGTTCTCTCCTCCCTTCAGAGAAAGGTACCTCCTTCTTTGATGACCTGTTCTTTCCACTGGGATCTTTTGCCAGAGTGTCTTGGCTTTCCATGCCTGAAATACTCTCATGAGCTTTTCAGCCAGCTCCGAATGCCTTTAGGGCTGATTCTGAGGCCAGAGTGCTATTTAGGACATCTGCCATTCTATGAGTCTGCTGAGTATCTCACTTCCCATGTTGGATCACTCTCCCCTTTATTTACTCCATCGGTTAGCGTTAGCAGGTACTAGACTTGTCTATGTGTTCCCTTTGACTCCCAGTCCCTTCACCATGACCAACTGTGAACTGAAACTGATCACCTGGAACAGTGAGATGGCATTGGTACATGCCACCTCGATGGGATTGAATTGGAATCCCCTGGTATGCTTCCAACTCCACCACTTGGGGCAAGTCAGCCTGAGCATGTCCCAAATTATACATCTCTTCCCTCTCCCATTCCCACCACCATGTTCAAACATTTGTCTATACTGTGAGTTTGGAGCGTTGTTCTGGGCCTTGGGGACTGACAGAGTTCCTGCTCTAAGCTTCTACATCTAAAAGCTTGGAGTGCACTGATGAGGGGTCAGCACAAAGAAATGTGGAGTGAACTTCAGTGAGGGACACTCCCTCAAACCTGGATAAGGCTTTGCTAGAGTGCTCTGAAAATATCTGCTCGTTGATTTTGCATCAAAGCGTATTTATTTCTCTAATCCTTTCTATCTGCTTCTGGTAGCTTTTTTTATCTTCATCTCCTTAAGTGTGGTAGGCTTTGACATTTTGTAGCATTAGTAAAAGGTGGAAATTCTGCCAAAACACTGGACTGAATCTCAAAGTGATCTTTAGGAGGCCTTTAACATTCGTGTTTAAACAGAAAAGGCTGAGATGTGTGTTAATGAGTGCACTGTGAATGAAGTAACCTAACCCTGAAGAGAACAGAAAATTCCATATGACTTTCTGGGAAGACAATAATACCATGCATGCACTCAATCAGTTTTCACAAAGTAAAAGAAAACATATAGAAAATACCATGTTATTACCTTTTTCATAAAATTGAGAGAATTAATTCTTTGTACAGTAATAGAATTCACATCTGAAATAGACATATCCTTCTCTATCTGACTTTCATACTCCTAAACAGAAAATTAAAGAATTAGGTTAGTTTCATTTTTTTCACTGTAACACCGAGTTCAGTCAGATATAACATGTTGAAATGAAAATGTTAGTATTCATTTCAGATCAGGTGTAGCAGGACACTGGCAGCAATATGGCATTCAGAGTAGAAAACACACTGTGAATTAGCTAAAAAGTTTCATTATATTCTGTTTGTTTCTAGGATGATATTCATTCATCTTTTAAAACACAGTAATGATTAAGGAAAATTTGTGATTGAGAAAATGTGAAGAAATGAGGAAGAACATTCTTCCTGTATGTATTTGCCTGGCAAATGCTAAAAACACGTGGAAGTACCTAAGTACAGTGCTTAAGAGCAGGGGCTTTATAGGCAGATAGCTGTGGCTTCAAGTTGGCCAAGCCATTTACTGTGTGGTTCTGGGAACGTTTATTAATTGCTCCAGACTCTAGCTCCTTCTTTAAGGATAGCAACAACAGCAACAATACTTATGTCACACAGTTGTTTGTGAGATTTAACGGACATGATATTTACATAAAATGCCTCGCACTGTGCTGACTATAATCGATAATTACCTATTATATGTATAGTTGATATAAAATTTTGTGTCAGGATGCTTCATCTACACAACTTAGAATAAATTTGCATCTGTTCTGTATGTATTTGCAGTATACATCCCCAGTGCCCATGGAAATCATTAATGACTACATTAAAAGGGGCTGGTGCTGTGGCAAAGTAGGTTAAAACCTCTGCTTATCCGGCATCCCACATCGGAGTGCCACTCTGAGTGCTGCTACTCTACTTTCAATCCAGCTTCCTGCTAATGTGCCTGGGGATGCAGTAGAAAATGGCCACCCATGTGGGAAACCAGGATGCAGTTCCTGGCTCCTGGCTTAGGCCTGGCCCTGCCCTGGCTGCTGTAGACATGTGGGGAGTGAACCAGCAGAAGGAATATCTGTCTCTATCTCTCCCTCTATGTCACTCTGCCTTTCAAACAAAGAAACAAACAAACAGATAAGTCTTTTAAAAACTCTTTTGTAGTTGTCCTGCCCTGTGTTCTTTCCTGCTTCTGTATGTTTCTGGACCTCTGGCCAATTCAATCTGAAACTGAACCTAAAAATTCAGTAGGTATATTGGGTCCTTTCTTGTTGGTATTCTTATCCCCACCTCTGCAGTTTATCTGAAATACTTCAATAGTCTGCATCAGCAGCAAAATCCAAGTTGCTGAAATATTTATTAAGTGAAAGAAATTCCATCCTGATCCTGGTATGTTAAGAGCGTTTACCATGAATGAACACTGAATTTATTAACTGGCTTTTAGCATTATGAGAGAAGCACATGGTTCCTTGCTTGATTCCCTAAATGTAATTATATTGATACATTTCATAGTCAAATCAGCTCTGTGGTCTAAAATAAGCCCTACTAGATTATGATGTATAAGTATATAGATATATTCAATGATTATTCAAATTTTTAACATTTTATTAGTAATTTTCCATCATAAGGAAAATGGATCTAAAATGGTCATTTCCTGTAGACCTTGTCCAACTTTGGTACAAAGGTCATAACAGCCTCAGAAAATGTGTTGAGGTACTCTCAGATCTCCAGATTATAAAACTGTGACTATTCCTTTTTTTAGTATGTTATATTCCCAATTATTCTGAGCGCTGTGATTTGTCTCCAATAGTTTATGTAACTGTAAAATTGAATTGAATTATTGACACAGCAGGAGAATGCTGAATAACTTTCCAGCTAATCTAAGCCATGCTTTATTTTATTTTATTTTATTTATTTATTTATTTTTATTTAATGAGCATAAATTTCCAAAGTACAGCTTATGGACCACAATAGCCTCCTCCCCCCCGTATCTTCCCTCCCACCCACAACGCTCCCCTCTCGCACTCCCTCTCCCCTTCCCCTTCACATCATGATTAATTTTCAATTATCTTTATATACAGAAGATCAATTTAGCGTATGTTAAGTAAAGATTTCTACATTTTGCTCCCACACAGAAACACAAAGTGTAAAATACTATTTGAGTACTAGTTATAGCACTAATTAAACACCTAAGAGTAATTGTGTATTAATTACAGAGTTCAACCAATAGTTTTAAGTAGAATATAAAATGCATCTTTTGTATTGTTGTGGCTTCCCCCCCGACCTCCCTCCCTCCCGTGGCCCTCCCCTCACCCACTCCCTCTCCCATCCCGCCCTTCATCACGTTTCATTTTCAATTACCTTCATATATTGAAGATCAACTTAGTATATACTAAGCAGGGATTTTAACAGGTTGCACTCACACAACTGAACCAGGTATAGGGTATTGTTCGACTAGTAGTGTTGTTTTTGAGTTTCATAGTTAAACATATTAAGGACAGAGATCCTGTGTGGGGAGCATGAACCCAGTGACTCCCGTTGTTGATTTAACAATTGTAAGCCATGCTTTATATTGTAGCTCTTTGAATACCACAGTTAGAAGCTGAAAAATACTTCCTAAAGTGAAATGCTACCTGGTCTGTCAATATCTATTTGTGAATACACATATTTTCACTCACCTATGTTAGTGAAAACAGTGCATTATCTATAAATTCTATTTTTTATAGGCTTTCAGTGTTATATGTGCTTGTTGGGAAACCATGATACCGTCATTGAAAAAACATTAATTTTCATTTCCTTATTCTCTCTCTCTTCTTCTGCCTCTCTGTAACTTTGCCTTTCAAATAAATAAAAAACCTTTTTTAAAAAAAAACATTCATGGGGCCAGCGTTTTGGCATAGCAGGTAAAGCCACCACCTGCAGTGCCGGCATCCCATATGGTCACCGGTTCGAGTCCCGGTTGCTCCACTTCTGATCCAGCTCTCTGCTATTGCCTGGGAAAGTAGTAGAGAATGGCTTGAGTTCTTGGGACCCTGCAACCGTGTGGGAGATCCAGAAGAAGCTCCTGGCTCCTGGCTCCTGGCTTCGGATCTGCACAGCTCCAGCCATTGCGGCATTTGGGGATGAGCCAATGGATGGAAGACCTCTCTCTTCCTCTCTCTGTCTCTCCTTCTCTCTGTAACTCTGCCTTTCAACTAAATAAATAAATCTTTAAGAAAAAAAAAAAGATTTACTTTCCTATACCTTAAACAAGCTGAACTTGAGATATGCTTTTTTTTTTTTTTATTTTATTTATTTATCTGAAAGGTAGAGTTACAGAGAGAGGGAGACACAGAGAGAAAGGTCTTCCACCCTCTGGTTCACTCCCTAGATGGCTGTAACAGCTGGAGCTGAGCCAATCTGAAGCCAGGAGCCAGGAACTTCTTCCAGGTCTCCCCATGCAGGTACAGGGGTCCAAACCCTTGGGCCATCTTCATCTGCTTTCCCAAGCTATAGCAGAGAGCTGGATTGGAAGGGGAGTAGGTGGGACTTGAACCTGTGCTCATGTGGGATTCCAGCACCACAGGCTGAGGCTTAGCCCACTACGCCACAGCGATGGCCCCAGATGTGCATTATAATCAATGTGTAAATTTACTGTGGTGGTGTCTCCCACCCATGCCCCTCAAAGCTGATTTTAAATTGGGAATACATTTTATAATAATAAAAATACACTAAATTTAATATTTAAATATATTAAATTACACTAAATGTAATTAAAACATATTAAAATACACTAAATTTAATATTTAATATTTAATATGTAAAATACATAAATGTAGAGTATGTCTAAATGATTTCAGTGTTAAATAGATGGTTTTTTTACAACACTAAGTTGTAAAAATAAGGGCTTTCTGGAATTTGGGAGATCTGTACCTCTTTAATGCCTAAAAAGAAGAAAAAGGGAGAAAAACCTGTATATACATATCTAGGTTAGAAAAGTAAATTAAGGTTGGTTTAAATTAACAAAATATTAACTTTATCATACAATAAGCCATAGTCAAATAGAAATCAAGTACCTGGGAAACTGCATCTGGAATTTCTCTATCATAGAGGGGTATCTGCTGCAGAAGGAAAACACCTAATTGACCTGCATTTCTGAGCTGCAATAGCTGGAAACGTTTACTCTTCCTTATTTCCTCTTCAGAAACAAAGTTAAATTCATCTTGCAACTGTTCAAGACGAAAATACTTTGGAATATCCTGCCCCTTGTGTCTCATGTACTGTAAAACATAAAAATGTAAAGTCTTTACTTAAAACATTACTCTTTATAAAATTTATTAAAGATTTATTTCAAAACACTGTTTCTTCCCTCGATTGTGAGATTTAAGAGTGGCAATATAAGTAGGAAATGAAATGACTGAATCTGTATAGGGATAGAACCTGTAAAAAAATTTAGAATCCAGACTATGTTGCTTCTGAACCTTTTCCCTATCTTAATTTATGTAAAAATTATATATTTTTATAATTCACTGATCTAAGATGATGAGACTGTTCCTATCTGGTTGCCTTAAGCGTTAAGAGATAATTAGTATTTCTACAGAGCTGTCACCCATTCTACCCAGCAGGTGGGAAGCTCTAATTTACAGAAGCTTAACTGCAGTTACCTAATTTATGGAATGCTTTATTCAACAAATGCAAAAGTGAGTGGATGCTACATGGAATAAATAATGCAAGTGGTCACCAACAAGACAAGGATTTATCAACTATAGTTCCACCAGAAAATGTAAAACACAGGAATGAATAACCACAGTAAAAGGCAAACTGAACTAGAAGCATAAGAGTGTATGGAGGGAGGGAGGGGTTGACAAGAGGGCAAAGAAAGAAAAGCACGTGAGTAACTGAGGTTACCAGAAAAGCATTTATTGAGACATTCATGGTGGCTAAGACAGCCACTATGAGTGCCCTTTTGGCAGAGCAACGGTACAAACAAAAGTATGAAGAAAGCATATTCAGTGTTCACAGAACTGTTTGTTTAAGGGAAGAATAGAAATGACCAGATAATGGGTCTGAGCGAAAGAGTGCATCCGTAAATCATTTTGCTATTTTCAGCATCTAATAATATTGCTGGCACACCACAGATGTATAATAGATGCTAACCTGAAGAGTTAGCCTGTTGGATGTGGTGTGGGCTGTTAAGTAGTGGCAGAGTGCCTGCTGTCAGGCCAAAAGTAATAATTATTTCAGTTACTGAATTTCTATTTTTCTTTGAAATACTACAAACTTACTGAAGATTATCTGCACTCCTAGTACCTACAAAAATATATAGCAAACTATGAGGGGTTCTGTGTTAGAACTTAGACAAATAGAATATATTTACCGTATTGAGCTTTGCTATAACTTACCATAATAAGTTCTATTAAATCAGAATATTCTGGATTATTTGGATCAATTTTGATTTCATTTGCCCATTCAAAAAGCTTCTGTACATTAACGAGCCATGGGATTCCAGGAACACCTTTTACATCTACATTCCTTAACACAGAGAAAATATTTTGTGAATTCTTATCCAACATATAGGTTATTTACCCACTCCAGGCATTTAAAGATAAAACCTATTGCTCCTTTGTATTTAAGGATAAATTAGTAAGATTAGATATGGTTTCTCTCCTGCTTTTTCTCATGTTATAACTTGTATCATAGGTTTTATGTAGGTGTCTATTATCTTTTTTTTTTTTTTAAGATTTTGTTTATTTATTTGACAGGCAGTTACAGACAGTGAAAAAGAGAGAGAGAGACAGACAGACAGACAGACAGACAGACAGAAAGGTCTTCTTTCCATTGGTTCACTCCCCCAAGTGGCCACAACGGCCGGAGCTATACCGATCCGAAGCCAGTAGCCAGGTGCTTCTCCTGGTCTCCCATGGGATGCAGGGCCCAAGCACTTGGGCCATCCTCCACTGCCTTCCCAGGCCACAGCAGAGAGCTGGACTGGAAGAGGAGCAACTAGGACTAGAACTGGCACCCATATGGGATGCAGGCGGTGGAGGATTAAACTAGTGCACCACAGTAAGCTTCTTAAGGATAAGGACTGTAAATATTCTTCTTTGTCATCTCTATTCTGTGTAGCAGCTAAAATATAATAATATGGAATAATAAATAAAATATATATAAATAATAAAATAATATAATAATAAAATTAAATGAATGCTGTTTATTGAATGTATTTTTTAAACTCTAAGCACAAGATCTTATTAAAGTATTTTTGTTTCATGAGATGCACAATATTGAAATTTAACCAAAATATTTGATTGAACAACATGCTTCTCTTAACAGTATGTCAAAAGCCAGTAAATAAATTCAGTGTTCATTCATGGTAAACGCTCTTAACATACCAGGATCAGGATGGAATTTCTTTCACTTAATAAATATTTCAGCAACTTGGATTTTGCTGCTGATGCAGACTATTGAAGTATTTCAGATAAACTGCAGAGGTGGGGATAAGAATACCAACAAGAAAGGACCCAATATACCTACTGAATTTTTAGGTTCAGTTTCAGATTGAATTGGCCAGAGGTCCAGAAACATACAGAAGCAGGAAAGAACACAGGGCAGGACAACTACAAAAGAGTTTTTAAAAGACTTATCTGTTTGTTTGTTTCTTTGTTTGAAAGGCAGAGTGACATAGAGGGAGAGATAGAGACAGATATTCCTTCTGCTGGTTCACTCCCCACATGTCTACAGCAGCCAGGGCAGGGCCAGGCCTAAGCCAGGAGCCAGGAACTGCATCCTGGTTTCCCACATGGGTGGCCATTTTCTACTGCATCCCCAGGCACATTAGCAGGAAGCTGGATTGAAAGTAGAGTAGCAGCACTCAGAGTGGCACTCCGATGTGGGATGCCGGATAAGCAGAGGTTTTAACCTACTTTGCCACAGCACCAGCCCCTTTTAATGTAGTCATTAATGATTTCCATGGGCACTGGGGATGTATACTGCAAATACATACAGAACAGATGCAAATTTATTCTAAGTTGTGTAGATGAAGCATCCTGACACAAAATTTTATATCAACTATACATATAATAGGTAATTATCGATTATAGTCAGCACAGTGCGAGGCATTTTATGTAAATATCATGTCCGTTAAATCTCACAAACAACTGTGTGACATAAGTATTGTTGCTGTTGTTGCTATCCTTAAAGAAGGAACTAGAGTCTGGAGCAATTAATAAACGTTCCCAAAATCACACAGTAAATGGCTTGGCCAACTTGAAGCCACAGCTATCTGCCTATAAAGCCCCTGCTCTTAAGCACTGTACTTAGGTACTTCCACGTGTTTTTAGCATTTGCCAGGCAAATACATACAGGAAGAATGTTCTTCCTCATTTCTTCACATTTCCTCAATCACAAATTTTCCTTAATCATTACTCCATTTTATTTTATATATAAAATATTTAATCAAATTATTTTATATATATAAAACTATTTAAAATATTTGCTTGAGCAAAACCAAGAAAATACACAATATAAAACCAACCTTTCGGCTACACCTTTACAGATGAAATATAATAGAAAAAATGCAATTAACTGGGTAGTCTGTGCCAGAGAGTATCTTGGTTTGCTTGTCTGAAACTATCTTCTAAAACCACAGAGCTATAAAAGATAAGCCAAACTCAAAACATAATCTTAGGGGCCGGTGCAGTGGTGTAGTGGGTAAAACCGCTGCCTGCAGTGCTGGCATCCCATATGGGCACTGGTTCAAGTCCTGGCTGCTCCACTTCTGATCCAGCTCTCTGCTATGGCCTGGGAAAGCAGTAGAAGATGTACCCACGTGTGAGTCCCAGAAGACGCTCCTGTCTCCTGGCTTCAGATCGGCACAGCTCCTGCTGTTGCGGCCATCTGGGGAATGAACCAGCAGATGGAAGATCTCTCTCTTTCTGCCTCTCCTCCTCTCTCTCTGTGTAACTCTGACTTTCAAATAAAGAAATAAATAAATGTTTAAAAAATACAAAACATGATCTTATCTATAGGCTTAGTACAGAAGGAATGCAATTCTAAAGATAAAGATTTCTTAGCGCTATCAATTTTTCCCCAGCTACTTATCATTTTGTAATTTTCTTATTATATGTAGTTACAAGAATGAGGGTTAGAAGCTTCCAGTATCCTTTCTATAAAGGACTCAAGAAAAGATCATATATATATATTTTTTTTTGAGCTTAATGATAATCTACATTGACTACCTGACTTTCATTACCAACTATTTCCTTGTGCTACTGCCATTTTCATTTTCTTTTCTCTCTTACTTAAGAGGAAACTCTTACTTAAGAGGAAAAGCATTTAAGAACTCTTACTAAAAGTTTGATCATGTGTCACTGGGTTTTTATATACGGTATTCTGCTTCATCACTTTTTAAAAAATCTCTAATTTCAGTTTTGATGTCCTTTTTAGGTTGTTACTCGCAAGAATTTTTAAATTACTGTGTATTTGAGAGACAGAGAGCATTCCCATCTACTAGTTCAATCTCCAGTTGTCTGCAATGTCTGGAATCGGGCCAGGGCGAGCCAGGAGCCAAGAACACAATCCAAGTCTCCCATATAGGAGGCAGAACCCAATTTTGTCAGCCTTGATGGTTGCCTGCCATTTTTATTTGTTTCTAAAAAGATATACTTAGGCCGGCGCCGTGGCTCACAAGGCTAATCCTCCACCTGTGGAGCTGGAACTCCAGGTTCTAGTCCTAGTTGCTCCTCTTCCAGTCCAGCTCTCTGCTGTGGCCTGGGAAGGCAGTGGAGGATGGCCCAAGTGCTTGGGCCCTGCATCCCATGGGAGACCAGGAGGAAGCGCCTGGCTCCTGGCTTTGGATTGGTGCAGCGCACCGGCCATAGCGGACATTTGTGGGGTGAACCAATGGAAGGAAGACCTTTCTCTCTGTCTCTCTCTCACTGTCTAGCTCTGCCTGTCAAAAAAAAAAAAAAAAGTAAAAATATATACTTATATGGGGTAGGGAAGAATTTTTTTAAATTAATTAATTTATTTGAAAGGCAGAGATACAGAGAGGCAGAGTCACAGACGGAGAGATCTTCCATCCCCTAGTTCACTCCCCAAATGGCTGCAATGGCCAGAGCTGGGCTGATCCAAACCCAGGAGCCACAGGCTTTTTTCGGGTCTCCCACGCGGGTGCAGGGGCCCAAGGACTCAAGCCATCTTCCTGCTGCCTTCTCAGGCCACAGTAGAGAGCTAGATTGGAAGCAGAGCAGCAGTACTTGAACTGGTGCCCAGATGGGATGCTGGGGCTGCAGGTGGTGGCCTAACCTGCTTTGCCAAAACACTGGCCCTAGAAATTATTTTTTTATCATCATTTATTACCTTTCAAATGATGAAATCTACTTGTTCCTTCATATTGGCAATTTTCTTCAAACATAGCACGTTACAGAAGCATTATCATCATTTCCATAGAAATTTACTTATTTCTAGTAACCATGTTTGTGATGTGATCTGAAAATTAATCACAACTTCTCAGAGAAGTCCTGGGACACAGAATAAAATTTCCAGGATTTTGTGACACTGTGGCTTAAGCCACCCCCGGCAATGCTGACAATCCAAATGGGTACCTGTTCGTGTCCCAGATGCTCCACTTCTGATTCAGCTCCTTACTAACGAGTCTGGGAAGGCAAAAAAGAAGGCTCAATTTCTTGGGACCCTGCCACCCACGAGGGAGACCCAGATGGAGTTCCAGGCTCCTGGCTTTGGCCTGGCCCACCCAGTCCTAGCCATTGCAGCCATTTGAGACGTGAACTAGCAGATGCAGTGTTTTTTTTCCTTCCTTCCTTCCTTCCCTCCTTCCCTACTTCTTTCCTTCCTCCCTCCTACCCTCCCTCCCTCCCTCTCTCTCTGTGGCTCTACCTTTTGGAGAAATATAATAAATCTTTTTTTAAAATTCCAGGATTTTCCTTCCAGCAAGCTGTTAATGCATTAATGATTCTTTGGTAATATAGACTGGACCTTAAATCCCTCAGAAATAAAATTCTTGGGTATCTAGTTCTTTGTCTACAAGTTAAGGGCTATGAACATGCCTCTCTTATCATCCAAGTGGCCATAATCCCAAACATTGAAGAAATACATTCTCTTACTTTTTTTTTTTTTTTTTTTTTTTTTGACAGCCAGAGTTAGACAGTGAGAGAGAAAGACAGAGAGAAAGGTCTTCCTTCCATTGGTTCACTCCTCAAATGGCCGCTACGGCCAGCGTGCTGCGCCAATCCGAAGCCAGGAGCCAGGCGCTTCCTCCTGGTCTCCCATGGGATGCAGGGCCCAAGCACTTGGGCCATTCTCCACTGCCTTCCCAGGCCACAGCAGAGAGCTGGCCTGGAAGAGGAGCAACCGGGACAGAATCCGGCGCCCCCACCGGGACTAGAACCTGGGGTGCTGGCGCCACAGGCGGAGGATTAGCCTAGTGAGCTGCGGTGCCAGCCTATATTCTCTTATTTATAAATACACTTACTACCTTAATAGAGAGTGGTTTAAATGAAAATGAAACCAAAACCCAAATACATTAAACCTTTCTTATTGCCACTTTGAGTTTTCCTATTCATATGCACATGTGCTGTACTTGGAATCATGTTTGAAACATAAGATTTATTACCTGTAGTAATCAGATGTCAAAGACTGTGACATGGGTGTCCGAGGGGTACCATTTTCATCCAAGGCCCATGAAAGAGAGTAGCTAAGTTTTCCTGACGTCAAAAGACAGAGTTCTTCAGTTCCATTTCCCTCAAGAAGAAAAGGTACATCTGTTTGTAAAAAAAAAAAAAAAACATTCAAAACATGTGAACTTTAAAAAAAAAGTGTGTTGTACCACATGCAGATTTCCTCCCCTGACTTCTACTTATGGAACCCTCAGGAACACAAGGTTAAGTGTGTTAACCTAAATAGATAAAAGGTTAAGTGTGACCTAAATTTTTTGGAGACCTGATTTTTCTCCTGGGTCTCTATAACCTTATTTTTCTACTTCAGCTGGACTCTAAACAGACTATATTATTCCTGAGTTTTCTGTTCTTTCCAGGATCTTTTGTTCACTTAGTTTTTCCCTCTCACCCCCTTGCTTACTACCCATGTGGCCTTAATCCTAAGAATTGAAGACACACATTCTGTTACATAAACACACTCAAACCTCTTTCCTTTTCACCAAACAGTACAAAAGATTGCAACACTCCTAGGAAAAAGAAGGGAATCTTGGGAAGAAGAAATGAGACAATGTTCTTAGAGATAGGTTGATTTAAATGTAGTTACATGAGAGGAGTAGAATCAATTGAAGAACAAGTGTCCCTTTAATCTCTCATTTTCTCTGTCTCTTCTTCCTGCTGTCCATCCATCCTCCCTCCCTCCCTTCCTTCCTCTATTCCCTACAGAGTTCAAAGATTAATCCATATGTCCTAGACCACTCTTAGGTTTGCTAAAGGAGAAGCAGAGGCAGAGCAGTGTATCCACTGCAGAGCAGAGCTGTGTTCCAGAAAGCACACTGCTCTTTCTTGGATGACCTAGGAAAAAAAAAAAAAAAAAAAAACACTAACTGAAAATTTTGTTTCCCAAAGATTTGATTTAAGACAGTCTTAATTAATCTGGTTTAACACCTGAAAGCAGAATTTAATTCGTTTTTAACTGAATATTGTCATTATAGAATTCTTAGCTCATATAAATCAGAGGAGATATTTTGGATTGGCAGTCATGAGGAAAACGGGGGCATGGCATTTGTAACAAACTCACTGCTTCCTACTTCTCCATCCTCAGGGATGACCAGCTTATCAGAGCTGAACTCTACATATTCCAAAACAGTTTTTCCTTTCAGCTCTGTGTTGTTGGGTAAAGGTAAATATAGTTTTGCCAATAAACTTGTCCTTTTACTTACTTCATAAACCTAAATATAAAAGAAATGGTTGATGGCTCAGTAAAAATACAAAATAGAAATCACATTAGAACTCTCAATAACATGCAGTATTTTTATTCATTTTAAAATGCTAGAATATAAAATAGGTATTGCTCTACAGCATTTCTTCCACATGGTTATGGGGAGAGTAGATAATCTTTTATCCTTAAAAGTGTAATGCCTTTATTGATTTCAGGGAAAATGAGTTGAATGCAAGGATCACAAACACAACTGTGAGCATATGCACACACGTAACACAATACTTACCTTTGTGTAGCACTTTTAAAGTTCCTTATCATCCGTAAGCCTTATGAAAATTAGGCAACAGAAAATAAGCAACAGATTTTTTTCTTCTTATTTTACAAATGGGGAAATGAAGGCTCTATACAAAATTGTATTCACTTTTATTACCAGTGATTAAAACCCAGGTTGAATTATTTAGGAAAAAAAGGAGTCATTTAGCTCGTGGAATTCAAGGATAAGTTAATAAGCTACGTGCATGTGGAGGGAAGGCCCAGAAGAAAGGAAAGGGAGGTGAAGAGAGGTTAACTCCACAGAGGTCCCCTGGGCACAAAACCCAGATCTTGGACTCTATATGCTGTGCTTTCTACAATTCCCTGTAAATGTGCTGCTGTAATTATAAATTAGAAATAGAAAAATCCTGTTTTGACCTACAGTGTATTGTCACTACTTGGAGAAATAGTGATATGTGCTCTAAGATGAAGGAAATGTTAGGGAGGGCAATTTTCCCTTGAAAAATAAGAAAATGTGCCAATCAAAAGAATGACTAATTAGCCAAGAAAGCTAAGAAAAACAAAGTCAAAAAAGCACACATATTTTTCTGGTCATTTAAATACTTCCTTGTAAGAGTGAATTAAAGGGACTGGTACTGTGGCACAGTGGGTTAAGCTGCCACCTGTGATGCCAGTATCCCATATGAGCACCGGTTCAAGTCTCAGCTACTCCACTTCCATTCCAGGTCCCTAATAATGCAGGTGGGAAAGCTGTGGAAGGTGGACCAAGTGCTTCAGCCCCTGTCACTCATGTGGGAGACCCAGATGGAGGTCCTGGCTTCTGGCTTTGGCCTGGCCCAGTTCCGACTGTTGTGACCATTTGATGAGTGAACCAATGGATGAAGCTGCCCCCCTTCTTCTCTCTCTCTATCTCCTTTTCTTTATCTCACCTTCTCTGTTAACTCTGCCTTTCAAATAAAATAAAATACAAATTTTTAAGAGTGAATTAAAGCCAACAAATTGACCTGTTTGATAAAGGAATCCCTAATACACAAAGGTCTGCACTGTTGTTTTTGGTATTTGCAGGGTATATCTTTTTCCAGGTCTTCATATTCAATCTGTGTGTATTTTTACCTGTGAAATGACTTTATTTTTTTAAAAGATTTACTTATTTATTTGAAAGTCAGAGTTACACAGAGAGAGAGGAGAGGCAGAGAGAGAGAGAGAGAGGTCTTTCATCTGCTGGTTCACTCCTCAGATGGCCACAATGGCCGGAGCTGTGCCGATCTGAAGCCATGAGCCAGGAGCTTCTTCTGGGTCTCCCATGCGGGTGCAGGTGTCCAAGGACTTGGGCCATCTTCTGCTGCTTTTCCAGGCCACAGCAGAGAGCTGGATCGAAGAGGAGCAGCCGGGATTAGAACTGGCACCCATATGGGATGCTGGTGCTTCAGGCCAGGGTGTTAACCTGCTGCACCACAGCGTTTGCCCCTGAAATGACTTTATTGCTTGCTGTTTTCAGCTCCAAAATTTGTTTGGTTCTTTTTAATGATTTCTACCTCTTTATTGAATTTTTCATTCATGTCATCTATTGTTTTCCTAATTTCTTGAAATTATCTGTATTTTCTTGAATCTCATTGAATTTCCTTATGATAATTATTTAAAATTTTTTCAGGTATTTCATAGATTTCCCTCAGATCAGAATCTATTTCTGGAGAACTGTTATTTTCTGGAGGGGTCATGCTTCTTCATATTTCCTGTGCCCTTATACTGATGTCTGCACATCTGGCTCTTAACAGTTCCTTTCTTATATAATAGGTTCCATTGGAAAAGACTTTTTGTTTAGATGGAATGTGCGGTGTTACTTGGCTTTGATCCTAGGTGACTTCAGAAATGCAATCTCTGAGTAACTAATGTCTCCATGTGCCACAGTTGTTTAGTCTGCAGCAGTTTGTGGAAGTGGACATGAGCTTCCAAACGTGTGTATCCTTAGTCCAGAGTTGGGTGTCAGTCACACTAGGATTTATGATGGCTGTAGCCATGTTTCTGGTGCTTTAGGATACAGAAAGACCATCCTCTTGTCCTGTCATGCATGCTTGAGAGATGTTAGAGCTTATGGCCCCAACAGCTATGGCATTTGGACTGCATGATGCAAACTGGACCTTTCTCAGACTCTGCTACTGTACACATGACTAATTCTGGGGCTTATAGCACCAAGAGTCCAAGCTACAGTTCTGGAAGATGCTGGGGAACCTTATCCCACTCCCACAGGGTTAATACAGATTATGTTGAGGATTATACATTGGCAGGTGTGGATTTGGAACGCTCAAATGCAAGGAGGCTCTCCCCTAGGTTCCACAGCATATGTTCCAATGACTCTGAGGAATACAGTACTAATGTCACAGAGCTGGAGCTACAGGATACAGTGGGGACCTTACTTTAATTTCACAGGATGAATGCCAATTATCTTGCAGTTGTTGGCCTGGCAGTCACCAGCCTGAAGCAGAGGTATTCAGTTAGGGCCCTCTACATCCCACAAATTAGTGCATCTTACTCCAGCAGTATATTGTTATATTTCCAGAAGCCACAGTCTGAGAATTGCAGGACACATGGGGGACTGTGTGCAAGGTGCTGTTGTGGCTTGGGCATGGGCCCCCAGTACCCTATGGTGGGAGCTGTAGAAGGGACTTCCTCAGATCTAGTCCTCTGGGATTGCGTAGGGTCGTTGCAGGCAGCAGTGGCAGCAATATAACTTGTTTTTCTGTCTTTGCTGATTTTCTGAGTCTCTCTGTGCTATCTGCACTTCTCAGCACTTCTTTAGTAAGTGATCTCTCAGTCAGTCTCCTAGGTTCTAACAGTTCACATATACAATCCTTTCTCTGGTAAGATGGTGTGCCCTGACCAGGGCTCTAGGGTAGGAGTGGCAGCAGCAGCAACATATTGTTTCTGTTTTCAGAATCTCTGTGCTATTTGTAGTTACTGTCACTTAATTACTAAAGCTTTCCCTCAGACAACCTGCTGGAAATGTGGTTCTTCCCTCAATGTTCTAAATTTTTTTCCTGGTTGAACTGGATGCAGATCCTATCAGCCATCTTGATCCTCCATATAGTACTTTAAACAACCCTCTTCCAACTCACTTGTGAATGAACAGTAATGCTACATATTCAGGGATGGTAAGGAATTTTAGCAGGAGAGATATATTTGAAAGCATGACAAATCAAGAACTTTGTACTTATGGTTATAAAAAGATCATGGGGGCCAGTGCTGCAGCTCATTAGGCTAATCCTCTGCCTGCGGCGCTGGTACTCCGGGTTCTAGTCCCGGTTGGGTGCTGGATTCTGTCCGGGTTGCTCCTCTTCCAGTCCGGCTCTCTGCTGTGGCCTGGGAAGGCAGTGGAGGATAGCTCAAGTCCTTGGGCCCTGCACCTGCATGGGAAACCAGGAGGAAGCACCTAGCTCCTGGCTTTGGATCCGCGCAGCTCGCCAGCTATAGCAGCCATCTGTGGGGTGAACCAACGGAAAGAAGACCTTTTTCTCTGTCTCTCTCTTATTGTCTAACTCTGCCTGTCAAAATAAATAAAAAGATCATGAGGTCAGCGCTGTAGCATAGTGGGTAAACCTGCCACCTGCAGTGCTGGCATCCTATATGGGCACCAGTTTGAGTCCTGGCTGCTCCTCTTCTGATCCAGTTCTCTGCTATGGCCTGGGTAAGTAGTAATGGCCCAAGTGCTTGGGCCCCTGTACACACCTGAGACCCGGAGGAGGCTCCTGGCTAAGCTCCAGCAATTGGGACTATTTGGGGAATGAACCAGTAGGTGGAAAGCCTCTCTTTCTCTACCTCTACCTCTACCTCTCTTTCTCTTTCTCTTTCTCTTTCTCTTTCTCTTTCTCTTTCTCTTTCTCTTTCTCTTTCTCTTTCTCTTTCTCTTTCTCTTTCTCTTTCTCTTTCTCTTTCTCTTTCTTTCTCCCTCTGCCTCTGCCTCTGCCTCTGCCTCTGCCTCTCTGTGGCTCTGCCTTTTCAAATAAGTAATCAATAAATCTTAAAAAAAAGACTATTGATGAATTAAAGACCCATTAATTATAAATATCTTGCCTACCCAAAGAGATCAGTCACCTCTTAATATAAAATAAATTGCTCACATATAACAATAGCTAACAAGAAACTTAAAATTATGGATGGCATAAAATAATATACAAAAGTAAATGATAATAGCATACCTCTAAGCAAATTGTTTCAGGCCAGTTTATTAACTGAATATTGAAAATTTGCTGAAACATGACTTTAAAATCAAATTGTAGGGTAGATATTGAAGTGCATGAAACCTGCTTATTATTGTAAAATATTTTAATAAAGTACTTAAGCTTCTGGATTTTGGCTCTCCTCTTTTGTTCATGCCTATAAATTAAATAAACTTTTAAATGACCATTGAAAAACAGAAGAGATATAAAATATTATTGTTTACAAAATGTACTTTAGCATATTAGTATAACCATTTGAGAGGGCAAATGGTATTTTTAAGTCAAGCAACACTTATCCTCATGTGAATAAAAGTTTCTCCTTCCCAGGGTTTTTTTAAAAAAATATTTTGAATATAATATATATGTAAAATATATAATATATACTCAAAAATAGAAAAAAGTAATATTAGATCTATAAATCATTCAGGTATTTATTTTGCTAAATTATAACTTAAAGAGATCACAATAGTTAACCACCAAATGTCTCAGGAAAGATGAAAACTGAAAGATTTCGACTTGTTTGGGGGAATGGGAATTGGAGAGGCTTGAATCAAGAATTTAAAAAAATTTTCTAACTCTTAAAAGGTACACACTACACACACTCACACACACACATTAGTGGATGGAAAAATGGGGATATGTATGATGTCTGGTTTTGCATAATATGCTGGGTATAGGGAGAAAGCATTTTAGCAGAAGGAGAAGCCCCATCTGGGAAGGCATAGTCTGTACTGTCAAAGAAAATTGTCCAGAGGGCCCTATTAATATGGAATAGGTTTTATGACTTGACAGTCCTTCAATAAGCAAACAAGCAGTATAATCTTACAGTGGCTTTAAATCTCACTTATCTATACCTGAACAAAAGTTATTACCATAGCAAAACAAAACAAAGTAATAATTATCATTATGAGAAGACAGAAGTACGGACAATGGCACCTGGTTTGCCATAGTCATGTATTAGATCTAAGACCTTGGGCAACTTAACTTTCCACAAACATTAATTTCCTCATCTCTAAGATGAGTACAACAAAAGACTTCAAAGAGATACGGTGACAACTGAATGTGAAAATATATTTTAAAAAAAACTTAGTAGAGTGCCTGGCATATGACACTCATTAAAGATATCTAACATTATTATTAAAATAATACAATTAATAGACACTATTCAATAATGAATAAGTAATTCTTTAAAATGCTTACACTGAACATTTGGATAAGGTTGTTAATTCTGCAGTGGAATAAAGTTGTGGCATAAAGGTAACTGGCCTTATTTCAGTTTCTGATTCTTCAAGTTCTGAATCTAAATATGAGATGCTCTAGAAATCAGAAAATAAATATATATTTACCATGTACATTTATTGTTCAGGACAATTACTCTTAACATTATACTGTTCTTTAGCTGTCATTTAGTTGGATAGCTGTTACAAATACTAAGATTTCCTATTCTGTTAAAGGATGAAATATAACTATTTAAGAAGAGTTGAATATTATTTTATAATATAAATACCTCCTGTTTTTCCCCATTCTTAAGTGCTTTTCCTTCATATTTCTTCTCAGTCTCAGATATTTCTGTCATTTGTTCTTGTTTTTGTTGATCATATTTATTCATTTTTATCCTAATTAATAATAACTAGAATTACTTTAAGCAGAAATAATGGAGATATTTGAGAATGATTAGAGATTTTGCTAGAACACACATAAACACAAACTCAAAATCAATGTTTTACAACAAATAATTTTACAGGGTCGGCGCTGTGGCATGGTAGGTTAATCCTCTGCCTGTGGTGCCGGCATCCCATATGGGTGCCAGTTCTGGTCCTGGCTGCTCCTCTTCCAATCCAGCTCTCTGCTGTTGCCTGGGAAAGCAGTAGATGATGGCTCAAGTGCTTGGGCCCCTGCACCTGCATGGGAAACTGGGAGGAAGCACCTGGCTCCTGGCTTTGGATCAACATAGCTCCGGCTGTTGTGGCCAACTGGGGAGTGAACCAATGTAAGGAAGACCTTTCTCTCTGTCTCTCCTTCTCACTGTCTGTAACTCTGCCGCTCAAATAAATAAATAACTACATCTTAAAAAAACCAAATAATTTTACATCCTAGGGAAATTATCAATATGATAAACATAAAATATACCATAAGCTTGTTCAAAGTTTTCACAGATTTCTCCTAATCAGTATATTTACTATTGGTGATTATGGGGCTTTCTAGGGGCATCAAGAAACATTTCCTTTGGTGAGAATAAGTAACCAGGGGATGGGGAGATACAAATTAAAAGACATACACCAAGTTTCTTCTCATTTCTTCCTCTCACATTTTTTAAGTTATGAGAACATGACCCATGGCTGGTATAAGGGCAGACGTCCACAGTGATATTAAGAGGTAAATCATAGTTACTCTTGTTGTTGGTGTCTAAGTATAAACCCAAGCAGTACATGGTATTAGTGCTCTCACAACATTACTACTACTGTAACTCCTATTTTCATATAATACTAAGTGTCAAGCAATATTCTAAGTACTTTATATATAATTAACTCATTTAATTCTCACAACTCAATGAAATGATTGCTATTCCTTTTGTATTAGCAGTACAACAAAACCTCAATTATCTGAAACTCTTTGAGAAAATAATTTATCTAGAAATCGAGTTTTCTCGACAGCCTCAGAGTTTATCCTTTCTGGCACAAGGTTTCATTTTTAATTTAATTAATTATTTAATTATTTATTTGATTTGAAAGGCAGAGACAGAGACTCTCCCAACAACTAGTTTACTCCTTGAATTCCCACATTGGTCAGGTCTGGGCTGGGTCAAAGGCAGAAACCAGGAACTCAAGTCAGAAACTCAATCAGGTCTCCTAATGTGGTGGCAGGGAGTCAACTATTGGAGCCATCATCTGCTGCCTCCTAGGGTATGCATTAGTTGGAACTGGGCTACTGTCCCAACTGGTATATTTAACAGCTGAGACAAATGTCTGCACCAATTTTAAAGTTTTAGTAATTTAAGAAGGGAATTCCTTAAGAAAATATCACTGTGTTAGAATGGTACAGTTGTTTTGGAAAATAGTCCAGTGATTCCTCCGAATGTTGATGATAGAGTTATCACATGACACTTCCATACCTCTCCTAGGTATACAGCCAAGAGAAAAAAATACATGCCTACATTAGAGGTGCCTGCTAATGGGAAGATGTTTTTTAGGGGGGGTAACAAAGTTTCTGAGATTAAATTTCAGTTAATGCATAATCCTGTGACTACACTGAAAATCAATGAACCATATACTCTAAATGGGCAAACTGTACAGTTTATGGGTTATATCTCAATGGAGTTGTTTTAAAAATAGTGTATACTGTGGGAAAGGGGAGGGTAGTGGGTGGGAGGGACGGTATGTGGGGGAAGCCATTGTAATCCATAAATCGTACTTTGGAAATTTATATTCATTAAATAAAAGTTAAAAAAAATGCAAAAAAAAATAGTGTATACTTTTGGCTTTCTGAAATAGAATACAGGAAGCCTAATGTGAATACCACCTATATAGGTTTGTAACCAGACTACATATATTAAAAATCCAGATACATTCCGGCTGCCCCCTCAATCAAATTCCACATGCCTCAAAGCAAATATATGGGGAAAAGAGAAGTTAAACCTAGTGTCTAGGGTCCAGGCCTTCTTGTGGAAACATAGCCTTTTTTTTTTTTTTTTTTTTGGACAGGCAGAGTGGACAGTGAGAGAGAGAGACAGAGAGAAAGGTCTTCCTTTGCCATTGGTTCACCCTCCAATGGCCGCTGCGGTACTTCTCCTGGTCTCCCATGGGGTGCAGGGCCCAAGTACTTGGGCCATCCTCCACTGCACTCCCGGGCCACAGCAGAGAGCTGGCCTGGAAGAGGGGTAACCGGGACAGAATCCGGCGCCCCGACCAGGACTAGAACCCGGTGTGCCAGCGCCGCAAGGCAGAGGATTAGCCTAGTGAGCCGCGGTGCTGGCGAAACATAGCCTTTGATGGAGTTCTGGATACAAGTTTATGCAGTTAGGGCTCACAGGACTAAATTTGTGGTAAGGTCACTAGTGGTAAACTTGGGCAGGCAAAAAAAGTTCCCATAAGCATCTTCAAACATAACTTTTCTAGTTGAACAGAATGGTACTTCAACCACTTGTAAATGCCCCAATTTAAGATTACCAGGCTAGACTTAACCAGATCAAACAAGTCACTGACATTATGGAATTTCATTCAGAAGTCTGCCACCAGAGGCAGTCTGGAGAAGAGAATCCAAGCCAAAGTTGGTGGCAAAGCAGAATGTTAAATGTCAGGAAGGACAAATGCTCAGTGCCTCCAGTGGGGCTGGAGTTCAGAGGTGGGGGAACGAGAGTTGGTGGTGAGCAGGCAATATGAACTCAGAGTCAACATTCTAAGCAACTTCTTTACATCTGTGGCTCTCTGTTGCTCAGGGTTTCATGACACATGAGTGTGCCATGTTGGTAAAAGATTAGAGGCAAGTTACCAAGTTTAAAAAGTTATTTTTAAAAAAAGAAAGAAAGTAGACTAGGGAGGCTCCAAGATGGCGGAATAGGGAGGGAGCTCACTGATAGTCCAGGAAAAGACAGTTTAATAAAAGTGGAGAAAGAGGAGTCTCAGGGAAGAGTTAGGGCAAAACTGCAAATGAAACTCTTCCGGAATTAGAGGGACATGGTGGATCTACGTGGAGGACACGGGTGCCCACAGCTCGGGAGCCCAGCTGCAGAGAGCCTCCACACCAGCGCTGGAAAGAGAGGTGAGGCGAAACTGCAGTAGCTCGAGACACTGGCAGAAAAGTGGCAGGAAGAGCCTAGAGGGAACAAGGCTTGAAGCCCTGTGGGGTAAAGTACACCAGCCTAACTAGAGGAGAGAAAAAAATAAAAGGGACAGTGTGGACACAATTCTCTCTCTCCACACACCTTACAAAGGCATGTGAGACAATAGAGCAGGTGCCATTTTGGACATACATAACAGCTGTGCCAGCTCGGGGCTGTGCCCACCGTCAGCCAAACAGAAAAACCTGACTCTGATGGGGAGTAATAACAGGAGACTAAGACCTAGTGAATGTGTGGAGCTTATGAACTGGGACTGTGGAAAAAAAAAAAAAACTGAGGGTGTGTGGGAGAACTCATGGTATGGCTGAGACGTGAGTAGTCTGGGTGGGAGACACCACAAACTCTGGTGGCCTTGGCTACCTGGTGAGAGACATTACAGGGGAATCTGAGCTTACACTGAGGACTGAACAGATCCTTTGTATGGTCCTTGGGACAGAGCAGACAAATATTATACCCACTGGGGCTAGTGCTCAGGCATTGATTGCCATTGAAGAGAAAAGCTCAGCTAAGAGGAATTACTTCCCTTCTGAATAAAAAAAGAGAGAGAGAGAAAGATTTACCACACCAAACCTGGGTGTATCACCTTTGGCACACCCTTAACCCTGAAGAACTGAACAGTGCTCTCTGGCCACACCTACCACAAGCCTCTAGAGATTCACCAAAAGCAGACAGTCCACTTAATCTAGAGTCAGAGTATAACGAGAAAAGCCACCACAGCAGAAAAAAAAAGAAGAAGAAACCAAAGAATATCTCCACAATGCCAAACAACAAACACAAAAACCGAGGAAACAAGAACAAGGAAGACATCATGATGCTCCCAAATGAACATGACACTCCAATAGAAGATTATTAAGATGATGAGATAGAAGAAACGCAAGAAAAGGAATTTTAAAAATTTATGATAAGAACATTTAGAAATTATCAAAAACAAATGCATGAATACAGAAATCCATGCAGGACAGGACAGAAAATCCCTCTCATGAAAATGAAATCTTAAGGAGGAATCAAAATGAAAAAAGGAATTTAGTAGAACATGAAATTGAGATATTGAAGAGAAATCAAAACAAAATGAAGAATTCAATAGAACAATTAAAAAACACATTTGAGAGCCTTAAAAACAGAATCAGTGAGGCAGGAGAGAGAATATCGGACTTAGAAGACAGCGCACAGGAAAGTATACAGTCAAACCAGAGAAAAGAAGAGGAAATTACAAATCTAAAAAATATTGTTGGGAATCTACAGGATACTATTAAAAAACTCAACGTTCGGGTTCTAGGAGTTTCAGAAGGCATGGAGAGAGAGAAAGGATTAGAAGGCATTTTTAGTGAGATACTTCCTTGGAGAAGGAAAAAGACATCCAAGTACAGGAAGCACATAGAACCCCTAATAAACATGACCAAAGGAGATCCTCACCACGACACACTGTAATCAAACTCACCACAGTGAAACATAAAGAAAAGATTCTAAAATGTGAAAGAGAGAAATGTCAGATTACTCTCACAGGATCTCTAATTAAAATCACAGCAAACTTCTCATCTGAAACCCTACAGGATAGAAGGGAATGGTGAGATATAGCCCAGGTACTAAGAGAGAAAAACTGCCAGTCCAGAATATTATATCCTGCAAAGCTTTCATTTGCGAATGAAGGTGAAATAAAGACTTTTCATAGCAAACAGAAATTGAAAGAATTTGCCACCACTTGTCCAGCCCTGCAAAAGATGTGTTACACACAGAAACACAGAATCACGGCCATCAATATGAAAGAAGGTAAAGGAAGAAAACCTCTCAGTAAAAGATCACAGAAAGTTGAAACTATATTAGAAATATCTTTGGAAAAATGGCAGGGCAAAGTCACTACTTATCAATAGTCACATTGAATGTAAATGGCCTTAACTCTCCAATTAAAAGATACAGACTGGCTGAACACATTAAAAAAACAAAACCCATCTATTTGCTGCTTACAAGAAACAAATCTTTCCAACAAAGATGCATGTAGACTGAAAGTGAAAGGTTGAAAAAAGATATTCCATGCTAACAGAAACCAAAAAAGAGCTGGTGTAGCCATCTTAATATCAGACAAAATAAACTTTAACACAAAAACTGTTAAGAAAGACAAAGAGGAGCACTACATAATGATTAAGGGATCAATTCCACAGGAAGATGTAACTATTATAAACTTACATGCACCTAATTACAGGACACTGGGTTATTTAAAAGATATGTTAAGGAACTTAAAGGGAGACTTAGACTCCAATACAATAGTATTGGGGGACTTCAATACTCCACTTTCAGCAATAGACAGATCAACTAGACAGAGATCAACAAGGAAACAGCAGATTTAATCGACACTACAGACCAAATGGATCTAACAAATATCTACAGAACTTTTCATCCTACACTTAAAGAATACACATTATTCTCAGAAGTACATGGAACCTACTCTAGGATTGACCACATACTAGGCCATAAAGCAAGTCTCAGCAAATTCAAAAGAATTGAAATCATACGATGCATATTCTCAGACCACAATGGAATGAAGCTGGAAGTTAGCAACTCAGGAATCCCTAGAGCATATGCAAACACATGGAGACTGAACAACATGCTCCTGAATTAACACTGGGTCATAGAAGAAATCAAAAGAGAAATCAAAAACTTTCTGGAAGTAAATTAAGATAACAACACAACATATCAAAACTTATAGGGTACAGCAAAATTAGTGTTAAGAGGAAAGTTTATAGCAATAGGTGCCTACATCAAGAAATTAGAAAGGCACCAAACAAATGAGCTATCAATGCATCTCAAGGATCTAGAAAAACTGCAGCACACCAGACCCAAAACTAGTAGGAGAAGAGAAATAATTAAAATTAGAGAATAAATCAACAGAATTGAATAAAAAAATTACAAAATATCAGTGAAACGAAGAGTTGGTCTTTTGAAAAAATAAACAAAATTGACACACCATTGGCCCAACTAACTAAAAAAAGGTACAGAAAAGACCCAAATCAATAAAATCAGAGATGAAAAGGGATTGTAACAACAGACACCACAGAAATAAAAAGAGTCATCAGGAATTACTACAAAGAGTTGTATGCCAGCAAACAGGGAAATCTATCAGAAATGGATAAATTCTTGGACACATACAACCTACCTAAATTGAACCATGAAGACACAGAAAACTTAAACAGACCCATAACCAAGTCATTAATTGAATCAGTAATAAAGGCCCTCCCAACAAAGAAAAGCCCAGGACCGGATGGATTCACTGCTGAATTCTACCAGACATTTAAAGAAGAACTAACTCCAATTCTTCTCCAACTATTCAGAACAATTGAAAGAGAGGGAATCCTCCCAAATTATTGCTATGAAGCCAGCATCACTTTAATTACTAAACCTGAAAAAGATGTAGCAGAGAAAGAAAATTACAGACCAATTTCCCTGATGAACATATATGCAAAAATCCTCAATAAAAGTCTGGCCAATAGAATGCAACAACACATCAGAAAGACCATCCACCCAGACCAAGTGGGATTTATCCCTGGTATAGAAATAGAAGAGGATACCAAAAAATGGAAAAATCTTCCACGCTCATGGATTGGAAGAATCAATATCATCAAAATGTCCATTCTCCCAAAAACTACTTATAGATCCAATGGAATACTAATCAAAATACCAAAGACATTTTTCTCAGATCTGGAAAAAATGATACTGAAATTCATATGGAGGCACAGGAGACATCAAATAGCTAAAGCAATCTTGTACAACAAAAACAAAGCCAGCAGCATCCCAGTGCCAGATTTCACGACATACTACAGGGAAGTTAAATAAAAACAGCATAGTACTGGTACAGAAACATATGGATAGACCAATGGAACAGAATAAAAACACCAGAAATCAATCCAAACATCTACAGCCAACTTATATTTGATCAAGGATCTAAAACCAATTCCTGGAGCAAGGACAGTCTATTCAATAAACGGTGCTGGGAAAACTGGATTTCCACATGCAGAAGCATGAAGCAAGACCCCTACCTTATACCTTACACAAAAATCCACTCAACATGGGTTAAAGATCTAACTCTATGACCCGACACCATCAAATTATTAGAACACTGGGAAACCCTGCAAGATATTGGCACAGGCAAAGAGTTTCTGGAAAAGACCCGGGAGGCACAGGCAGTCAAAGCCAAAATTAACAATTGGGATTGCATCAAATTGAGAAGTTTCTGTACTGCAAAAGAAATAGTCAGGAAAGTAAAGAGGCAACCGACAGAATGGGAAAAAGTATTTGCAAATTATGCAACAGATAAAGGGTTGATAACCAGAATAACTACAAAGAGATCAAGAAACTCCACAACAACAAAACAACCCACTTAAGAGATGGGCCAGGGACCTCAATAGACATTTTTCAAAACAGGAAATCCAAATGGCCAACAGGCACATGAAAAAATGTTCAGGATCACTAGCAATCAGGGAAATGCAAATCAAAACCACAATGAGGTTTCACCTCACCCCGGTTAGAATGGCTCACATACAGAAATCTACCAACAACAGATGCTGGTGAGGATGTGGGGGAAAGGGACATTAATCCACTTTTGGAGGGAATGCAAACTGGTCAAGCCACTTTGTAAGTCACTTTGGAGATTGCTCAGAAGCCTTAATATAGCCCTACCATACAACCCAGCCATTCCACTTCTTGGCATTTACCCAAAGGAAATTAAATTGGCAAATAAAAGAGATGTCTGTACCTCAATGTTTATTGCAGCTCAATTCACAATAGCCAAGTCATGGAAAAAGCCTAAATGCCCATCAACAGAAGACTGGATAAAGAAATTATGGGATATGTATTCTATAGAATACTATACAGCAGTAAAAAAAAAATGAAATCCGGTCTTTTGCAACAAAATGGAGGAATCTGAAAAACATCATGCTGAGTGAGATAAGCCAGTCTCAAAGGGACAAATATCATATGTTTTCCCTGATTGGTGACAACTAACTGAGCACCTAAAAGGAAACCTGTTGAAGTGAAATGGACACTATGAGAAATAATGTCTTGATCAGCCCTTGTCCTGACTGTCGAGGAACAACTTACTATTTTATTCCTTTTAGTATTTTTTGTTCTACTTAATACCATTGGTTGAACTCTTTAATTAACACACAATTATTCTTAGGCATTTAAAATTAACTGAAAAGTGATCCCTGTTAAATATAAGAGTTGAAATAAGAGAGGGAAGAGATGTACAGTTTGGCACATGCTCACTCGGACTTACACCTAATGGTAGAGCTAGAAACATGCCAGGGATTCCAATTCAATCCCATCAAAGTGGCATGTACCAATGCCATCTTACTTGTTAAAGTGATCAGTTTAAATTCATAATTGATCAAGAAGGTAGGATTAAGTGTCAAAGGGATTACATAAATAAAACCAGTGTCTGCAAGTAATAATTGATAGAATTAAAAATGAGAGAATGATCCTACATGGGAAGCAGGGTACACAGCAGACTCATAGAATGGCAAATGCCCTAAACAGCACTCTGGCCTCAGAATCAACCCTTAAGGCATTCAGATCTGGCTAAAAAGCCCATGAGAGTTTC